AGACAGATAGGGATAAAGAGTGAGAGAGGTCTTTTTTTGCCTATCTTTGTGCAGTGCTGTCTTACAGCTTATCTGGCTGCTGTCCTGGACTGGAACAACACCACTCTTGAGTTGAGTGTCAGTGCCACCAGCAGACAACATCCAGAACCAATGAAAGGGAGGGTTCAACAGCTAAACAGCCAGTCCACTGGGAGTCTAAGGGGAGAACTGGGCCACCAGACTCTATTTTTCCCTCTCACTTCCTCTGCATGTGTCTCTCTTATTATTTCATTTTCTCTCTCTGGATACCGTCTGGGCAACAAAACTCAGACAGGAACGTGGTGTTGGCAGCAAATGACAGACACTCCCAGATCCTCAGCTACTATCTATCTCTTAACTGTTAACACAGTTGTAACTGCAGTCTTTTAACATCTGTTCCACTTCAGAAGCTCTATGGCTCGCATATTAATTCAAGCAAATGCAATGCCTTTTGCATATTAAAGACCCTCAGATGACACCACAGTAGTGCTTTGAATAGACTGGCTTATACTCATTATGCAGGCCAAAGAGGGCAGCCAAGATGATCTTGCTAGGGTCATTGAATAAACATTAAGTGAGGAAAGCGAATCATTTCAGCCTCATCTTTCCTTTGCAGCATCTACGAAAATCCTGAACTTTATTTATACTGCAAAATGGAAGTGTGTGCAACTTTAAGAATCAAGAATTTTATCAACATAATGATTAAAAATATCTCTTAAATTCAAAGAAGCACGTGCGTTATAGTGCAACATTTGAGGTATCCTGTTACCATGGAGACAAATCTTTTAAGTGTTTATTACACAGTGTGTAATTTCTGATTCTTACTTTGTACACTATATATAGTAGTTTATATAGTAATTAAGCTAAAGTTGCATTTGTAGTAGTAAAGTTGAAAGTTTGTTGAAGTTTAAGGGCAAAACTATCAAAATAAAATGACGTAGTCATCGGTCCAGCCATTACTGGATGTTTTATGGTACATTATTATGCGTGATACTGGCTGTGATATTAAATATTATTTTCACATATGCCCCAGCATCAAAACCCTCCTTCTTCCCGCTGGCAGGAGTGTAGCTTAAACCAGCTGTGGTAGAGAAGAAATGTTCTTCCAGCACAGCAGCGTTTTGCCTAAACCCTTCATTTAAGGGATAAGAGTGTTATCGGCTCTGCAAAGTAGAAATATCAGAAGTTAAAGTCCTTTCTCTATCTTTTATTGCTTTGAGTCAGTATGGCAATAATTCAGGAATTTTATGAGGCATGCTTTTCTTCTTATAGTACGATGGATGATGTTTGGCTTTGTGCACAGGAAATCAGACCCAAATTCTAGTTCTTTCATCCAAACTTCTGAAGGTAGTCATGGAGTGCTTAGGATGTGGATTCCCTCCTCCTCTTGCACCAAATGCTCTAAATACTTCAACTGCAGGTTCCTCTGTATTAGTAACGTCTCTGCCAAGCAAAAAGTAGCACGCTTCAGCTCTCATGCTCTCATTCCTGTCCAGACGAACTGCATGTTTAGGATTGTTTAATACTGCAGCATAAATGAGTGTCATACAGCAGTTTAACCACTGGATGCTCGGGTCCAGGTGGGTATAAGCCGATGAACAAATGTTACGGCTTTCAACACCTCCTGCTAAACAGGAAGCCAGCACCTGTAGTATTACATCAAGTTCGAATGCAGATAAGATGTGACGAGTGATAACCTCGTCAGTAGATTATCCAGTGTTTACTAAGCATTGAGCGAATGCATCTGTTCTGATAACCTCGTCAATTTTTTAAGCTGTCACAGTTCATGGCAAATACTCTGTTTACCTACAGTGGTGAGACTTGAACTTGTGTAATGGTCTGAAGGAGCTCCAGGAGTTGAATATGAGCCCCAAACTATTAGCTTTAGGGCCTCATTCCTGATAACACTAATCTCAAGATCTTTGGGTTTTGAACCAGTGGTTGTACACAACAGGGAACTTGAAATGAAAGTAAATGTGGTAAAATTGTTTTTGTTTTTTAAACAGTTATAACACCAGTCAATAGATATACATTACTTCAGCTCTATACTGTTTGCCGTTGGCAAAGCAGCTTAAGAAAATTAATTCTAGCAGCCTTTCTAAACACAATTTCACAAAATACATATAAATATAAGTGTGTGAATGTGTGTTTGAATGGGTGGATGACTGAATGTAGTGTAAAGTGCTTTGGGGTCCATAGGGACTAAGTAAAGCGCTATACAAATACAGGCCATTTACTATTTACCAAATACCATTTCTTAAAGTGGGAAAAGCATCTAACTTGCATGTGTGTAAAAGTTTTGATGGTCATAAACACATCTACAAGAGCCATTTCAGGATGGGATTAGAAAATAGGCTTTGGGACAGTTATAGTGAGGCATATTTCTGGAATACTGCACACCTGGCTAAACCTGGCACACATGCACGATGAAACTAAGCACGTGTTATTATTTCATTTTCAAAAATAAAACAATACACAACACAGTCACAAATAACGGAAATGGAAACTTTGTGTTTAGACATTTTTCTTTTAAAATCATACTTGTCAATAATAGAAGACCACTAACTTACAAAATAATGTTGGAGGATCTCAAATGAACTTTTATGGATCCTTTTATGTTACCTCACTTCAACAGGCCGAAATGAAAAGGAGATCTTTTCAATCATTGTGCAGCACTTGCCACTGCAGGCCTCACACTCGGAGCTCTTACCGAAGTTTCCAGCAGTAGCAGCGTGAGTTTCTGCAGCGTGCCTGAGCAGGAGGTTTCTCTGTGATGGTGTTAAAGTCTCGCTGGAGTATGAATTTGAAGTTGCGCTGTTTTCCATGCTTCTGACTTCATCCGTGGCCACCGAGTCATCCAGTGCTGGAGTTGCCGTATTCGTGCTGTTGTTACTGGGGGTCCCAGCCCGGAGGGGCCCCGGCAGACCCAGATGGAGGACCAGAAGAGACAAACCGAGGACGTGATTCAAAAACCACGTTTCCATGATTTTTTCAAGACCCCCCAAAACGGTCGCCGATAGTTTCCGTGAAGTCGAGTGAATGTCGGAGAGTCTCCCGGGGACACCATGGGAGGAGCGCTTCGGCGTTTAGTGAAGTTTTAATGGGAAATGAATAAATCCTGGTAAAGGTCCGGAGGAGATCCGCAGCTCAGACGGCGGGGAGCGGAAGATAACAGAGCCGAGGCAGCAGCCTGTTATCTCAGCCCGGGCTCCGCCTCCGCCTCCTCCCCGCACACACATACACACACACACACAAACACACACACACACACACACTGAGAGTCCCGTTACTGAGCCCAGTAGCGCCTGTGTTGTCTGCAGGTGTCGGAAGCTTTGCCCATAAATACTTTCCTTTTCAAGCCACAGAAGACGTGAAGTTTTTAAGAGCTGTTAGTTACTCACATCGCCGAATAATCCCTCTACTCTGAGTGTTACGGTAGCCTATCATTACCTGCTGATAATAACCTGTAATCACAGGCTATAGTTGTAAAAATCACTTCTGTTGTTATGTAGAGTCTTAACCACAAAGACACACATCTCTCTCTCTATTTTTTAAAATATTATTTTATTGTTTATTAGTTCGTATCTTGCGATTTATTTCCCCACGGAACTTTTCTTTTCATCATTCAAAACCCTCATATGTCGGCTTTCCAGTTTTCTGTTAGTGCAATCACGTCACAGCAGGTTTTAAAAAAGTGATAAAATCACGTGGAATTCTCTCAGTAGGTCAGTCCATCTGCTGCAAGAATCCTTGGTCTTCATGTTTACTGCTTAGTTACTCTTTTGTGACTCAGACTGTATGTTTGTAGTCATTGTCAAGCTGTAGAATGAGCTTGTATATACATATCCACAGCACATTCCACTTTTCCAGACATTAAATATTCCTATTTTAGGTAGAGCCAGACTGAACTACCAGGCAGACGTTCATGTGCTCTGGTTGGGATCAGAGGAACATCTGGGGGAATTGGAGTTTGTTTTATGGGTAGAATAACAGATAACTCTTTAGGTGACAAACATTATTTATAGCACAGTTTATTCCAAGGGAAACTGTAATTAATATGTACTATTCTGCAGTTCATTTGTTCATTTTTTAGGCTATTAAGCAACAACAAAAAAGAGAGAAACATGCCTAAATTTGTCTTGACACATAACTGATTGTAAACATAATCAGCCTCTCAAACCAGTGCTGTGCAACACACATTGTTGGAACTTTTGCTTCAGTGACTTTGGTGGTTGGTGCAAACAAAGCAAGCAAACAAATGAAAGATTGTAATTTAATGCACTTTCACCAAACCACAATATTATTATTATTTTTTTTATCTTCTGCAGACATTTTGCTCTAATCTCATTCCTGCATGACACAAAGCCCAAACATCCTGTAGGTCCAAAAGTGAGTAGAGTTTAGTCCTGTCTCCATCGTGTATTTAATTTCCACTGCTCACATTTCAAGCCATTGTGCATCAACTGAAAGTCACTAACTTTTCCAACCGCACAGGGTTTCTTCTTAGTCACTGCAAAGGCACAAAGCACACCAACCCTTCTACAGCTCAGCCCAGTGATAAGAAAATAAGTAATCAGTAGGTTTACAGGCTTGTGTGCCTGCTGGCGGGCCGTTGCTTTCACAGAAACAGGATAAGAGGAAGTGGTTTTCACAGCTTTGCTCAAACACTGACTCTTGAACTTTGTGATACTTCCAGATCATACTTGTAACTGAAAAAAAAACACACCCCAAAAACATTTAGCATGCATTTAATTCACACCATATAGTGTCTTCAAAGGTTTTTGTTTCTTTCTTTTTTTAACCAGGAGAGCTGTTAAAGTGCTTTACACACATGGGAAAAAACCCCTCATTATTTGATACTTTCAGATATGCTATGAACACATTATACAGACTTGAAATTCAAGTATTTTTAGTCCCATTGTCACAGGTGTATAACACCAAGCACCTATCCATGCAGTCTACCTTTAAAAACATTTTTTTCAAAAAAACTGATTGTAAAGAGCTCTCTGAATTTGAGTATGGTAGCGTAATAGATATCACTATCACAACAAGTACTTTGTAAAATGTCTCAATATTATTATTGCAAAGCAAAAGCATTTAGGAGCTAAAACAATTCAGGCACATAGTGGTAGACCATGTAAGGTAAGAGCAGGGTTACTGCGTTCTGAGGTGTGAAGGGCATGAAAGTCGCCGACGCCTTACAGACTCAGTGACTGCAGAGCTCCAAACTTCTTAACATCAGCACAAAAACTGTCCACCGAGAGCTTCGTGGCATGGGTTACTAAGGCCGATCAAGATCCTGGCAGGAAGAGCATCCAGCGTAAAACTGTCAAATAAAAACACATGGAGCTAATCACTATGGCAATCCCTTATGAGAAGGGAGCAGCTGAAATTAGCTTTAGGTTTGATTGGAAATAGATCGGCATTTATAGAAGACTTTTGCAGTTTTACAGCCCACACAGCTCCTTGTTCTGTGTATGCAGCAAAATGATAGAGATATTCTATCAATGAGCTGTAGTGAGTGTAAAGTACTTTGCTGTGCTCTGCTGGGTTAGCAGCATCAGAGTTCGTGACAGCAACAGACTGAATAAAGTGATTGTGGATTATCAATCATCCTCACCAACCTCTGGACCACTAACTGGACAGGTTATTGGGGCAGAGATTAGCTTTTCATTATTGCTATTATTATTATTTCAACAGCTGTGACAAAAAAAAAAGTCCCATATATAAGATAAAGTATTTGTCATCTATAAACTATACACTGTGTTTTAAAAGTTTTGCATCTTAAAAGGCCATTTTAGAGTGATGGAACGGCAAAAAAAACAAAATAAAAAAAAAAACCAGTTGAAAATGAAAGAGTTAAAGTTGAAGTTTATATTAAGAGGAAATAATAAATCTCTGCATTTGCCTGTTTGCATGAAAACCTGCACATTTTAGCTATCGCCTTTCTCTGATGTATCTTATTCTTCCACATAACCTTTGTGCAAAGCTTTGATTTCCTTGAACCACCACAGGAAAACAATTCGAGCCACTGAGATTCTTAACATGTGAGCAGTATTCTGCCCGTAGTGCAACATGAGACACCGTTTGAGGCAGAAAATGTGGTATTCAGGCTGTCAGCTGCGACGCATAACTGAGGCAGTGTTTAATTCGGTCAGTGAAATGGTGGTTGGACCATATTGTCGGCCCTGATGAACGACGATTGATGACAGCGGTGACGAGAGGCAAAGTCAGCATTTTCCTCCGTCAGCTGCTTGGTTTTCAGCCCCAGAGTCCCAGACAAAGAGGGCGTCACTACGATCTCATCCCGGGGTGATGCTTTTCTACTGAAAGAGAAGAATACACAGAAAAATTAATTTCAGGCGTAACGATGTAGAAAATAATCAAAAACTGAAATCAACACCATTTACAGTTTAAAACTTATGAGGTTTTCGATTTCATTGCAATTTTATAATAAAAGCACTGTCGGATTATGGTTCAGCCATAGAAATAACTCTTAGCAAATTAAACTCACATATAAAACTCAAATTGGCTTCTTCATTATTTAATAGACATCAATGATGCAAGATTTTTCAGTGCATAAATAAAATCATAAATACCTGCAAATGCTACTCAGTGTTGATTTGAACCACGTGAAAAAGCTGAACTGAGCTGCAATTCCTGCAAATTAATCAAAATCCAGACTGTTACGTTTCTACCAGGAAGAAATACATAATTTTCTGCTGTAATAATTTTGCATTCAATGTTGTTAAAATTTTACACCTTTTTCTGCTGTGAGTATCTGAAGCTCTGCCACTACACAGGAGGTAGTAACTGCGCTGTGCCATTGGCAACATCTCCATTTGTGGAACAAATGTCTGACACTTGTTTGACGCTTGTGTTCAAAAATGTCGTGAGTCAGACGGCTGAGGCACGTACTGATGTGGTGAGTTTATTGCACAGATGCAGGGTGTCACATCCAGCTATTCA